CAGGGACTCTCTGACACCCAGGCTGGGGTGAAGTATCATAGTTCACTGTAGCTTTGAACTCTTGGACTCAAGTGATACTCCTGCTTCATCCTCCTGAGTAGATAGGACTACAGGCATGTGTCACCACCCCTGTAGAGACAGTGGGAAGTGGTGTCTCACTATGCTGCCCAGGCTGGTTTTGAAGGCCTGGCCTCAAGGAATCCTCCTGCCTCAGTCTCTCAGAGTACTGGAATTACAGATGTGAGCTACCAATTAGCTTTTGACAAAGGTGTCAAGAATATGCAATTGGAAGAGGATAGTTTCTTCAATAAATGGTGCTGGGAAAACTGGGTATCAACATGGAGAAGAATGAAACTGAATCCTCATCTCATGCCATGCAAGAAAATACACTAAGATAGATTAAAGATTTAAATGTAAGACCAAAACCTGTAAAACCTAAGGGAAAAACTGGAAGCACAGTGAGAAAGCACCTGTCAGAATGGCCACTGTAGAACAGAAAAGATAACAAATGTTGGTGATATGGAGAAAGGGGAACTGGGCGGCACCTGTGGCTCAAAGGAGTAGGGCGCTGGTCCCATATGCCAGAGGTGGTGGGTTCAAACCCAGCCCCAGCCAAAAAAAAAAAACTGCAAGAGAAAGGGGAACTGTTGGTAGGAATGTAAATCAGTACAGCCATTATGGAAAACTGCTGGAGGAGTCTCCAAAAACTAGAAGGAGAATTACCATATGATCCAACAATCCTACTTCTGTGTATTTACCAAAAATATTTGAAATCAGTTTTCTGAAGAGAGAGCTGCCCTCCCATGTTCACTGCTGTGCTACTCACAATAGCCTAGTTATGGAATCACCCCATGTGTCCAATGGCAGATGAATGGATAAAGAAACTGTGGCCTATGTACACCATGGAGTACTATTCAGCCTTTAGAAAGGACATCTCTGTCATACATGTGACAACCTGAATGGATTGGAAAATATTAAGTGAAATCAGACAGGTACAAAAAAACAAGTCCTGACTGGGCACCCATAGTTCAGTGGCGAGGGTGCTAGTCACATACACTGGGGCTGGAGGATCCGAACCTGGCCCTGGTTTGCTAAATAACAATGACAACTGCAACAAAAAAATAGTGGAGCGTTGTGGCAGGTGCCTGTAGTCCCAGCTACTTGGGAGGCTGAGACAAGTGAATTGCTTATGCCCAAGAGTTTGAGGTTGCTGTGAGCTGTGACACCATGGCACTCTACCGAGGGTGACACAGTGGAACACTGTCTCAGAAAAAAAAAAAAGAAAGAAAAGAAAAACAAATCCTGTATGTAGTCACTCATATGTGGCATCTAAAACAGTTGAGAATCAGAATCATAGTATCAGAATAGTTGTTACCTAGGCTGAGAGATGGGGAGATGATGGTCAAAGGTCCAAACTCTCTGACAGAAGGAACTTTTTAAAAAAAGTTATGTTGTACAGCATGGTGTATATAGTTAATATAAATAGTACATTTTAAATCTAAGTAAATTTCAAGAATTCTCATCACAAAAAAATGTTAAGTATTCAACGTGATATGTTAACTAGCTTGGTTTTATTATCCTGTGTTGTATGCACAAATCCCAGAAACTTAAATAAATTTCAATTTACATTAATAAAATGCTGGCAAAAAAGAAGGTATTTTTCAGAGGAAAGACTAAGTCCCAGAATAGCAAGTGACTAGGTCACTTGGAAAGTCTAAGATAGCAGCTGTCTTTGGTCAAGGTCCTAAAGCTTCCATCAGGCTTCAAAGTTAAACTTGAGTCCATGTGATAATGACAGTTTCTGCAGGATCTGTAAAGGAAGCCTTTCTGGCTAGGTAAGGTGGCTCACATCTGTAATCCTAGCACATTGGGAGGCTGAATCTGGAGGATTGCTTGAGGTCAGGAGTTTGAGACCAGCCTGAGCAAACCCCTCCTCCCCCCATCCAAAATAGGAAAACTAGCTCGGCTTTGTGGGAGGTGGCTGTTGTCCCAGCTACTCAGGAGATGGAAGCTGAAGGCTCACTGAGCCTAAGAGTTTGAGGTTACAACTAGCTATGATGATGCCACTGTACTCCAGCCTGGGCAACAGAGCAAGACCCTATCTGTAAAAAAAAAGGAAAAACCCCAAACTTCCCTTGTGATTTTTGTGAGCAAGCTCATCAGTTTACAATTTATAATTTACAGTATTACTTGTGGGTGTATTTGTATCTTGTGAAGTTCTAACTACATACCAAGGGCTTTTTTTTTCTTTTCCTAAGCCTATAGACATGCTATGGAACACAGATGTTGCTAAGTATTTCAATGAAAAGATTCCACAGTCATAAGAGGTGGGAAACACTGCATATTATATCCACACTGCCAACATTGTTGTTGCACCAGGCAGCATATTTGCGTATCAAGGACTAAAATGACCCGTTAATTAAAAAAAAAAATCTTTAAGACTAGGCTAGTGGCTAAGATGAGGTCCAGATGGGCAGATTCCTTAAGCTCAGGAGTTCAATATCAGCTGAGCAAGAGTGAGACCCCCGCATCTCTATTAAAAACAGAAAAATTAGCTGGGTGTTGTGGCCGGCACCTGTACACCCAGGTACTTGGGAGACCAAGGCAGGATTATCCCTTGAGCTCAGGAGTTTCAGACCAGCCTGAGCAAGAGTGAGACACTGTGTCTACTAAAAGTAGAAAAATCAGCCAGGCATTGTGGCAGATGCCTTTAGTCCCAGCTACTTGGGAGGCTGAGGCAGGAGGATTGATGGAGCCTAAGAGATTGAGGTTGCTATTGTGGGGGCCTAGAGCTCTGCACCAACCGTTCATCCCAGCCTCCCAGAACACAAGGCCTACCTGACCAAGAGTTCTGCTGGAAAGACCCTAGCCCACCAGAACCTTCCAGCAAACTCTGGATTCTTCCTCCCCCTATGCCCAGGGTAAAAAGATGCCTCCAGCTGCCTTGGGCATAGACACCATCTTTGCCCCGCCCAGGAGGGTCTATGTCTCCTTTCATTAAACTTGGCCTAAAATGCTCCTAGTATCCTCACTGAGGACACCACTGAACCCCTTTGAGCTGAGAGCTACGATGACGCCAAGGCACTCAACTCCAGACTGACAGAGTGAGACTTTGTCTCAAATTTTTAAAAAATCTTCAAGTTTAACACAATAACCCCTGGCTTTACTTAGTTATGACCATTTTCCTCCCAGTAGCCCTCATAAATATTCTAAGGATCTGATCAATTTTTTTTTTTTTTTGAGACAGAGTCTCACTATGTTGCCCTGGGTAGAGTGCTATGGCCTCATAGCGCACAGCAACCTCAAACTCTTGGGCTTAAGTGATTTTCTTGCCTCAACCTCCCAAGTAGCTGGGACTACAGGCACCCACCACAAAGCCCAGTTATTTTGTTGTTGTTGTTGCAGTTGTAATTGTTGTTTAGCTGGCTGGGGCTGGGTTCAAAACCACCAGCCTCGGTGTACATGGCCGGTACCCTAACCACTGAGCTACAGGTGCTGAGCCAATTTTATGAATCTTTTGCAAAACATACTTTTTTTTTTTTTTTTTGCAGTTTTTTGGCCAGGGCCAGGTTTGAACCCACCACCTCCTATATATGGGGCCAGTACCTTACTCCTTTGAGCCACAGGTGCTGCCCGCGAAACATACTTTTTTAGAAGGGTTGTTCTAAGCGTCTATCAAGAGTATATTCTTTTTATTTTTATTTATTTCTTTTTTGCAGTTTTTGGCCAGGGCTGGGTTTGAACCCACCACCTCTGGCATTTGGGGCCAGTGCCCTACTCCTTTGAGCCACAGGCACTGCCCCAAGAGTATATTCTTTAAACACAGTACATTTTAATGAAGTTAAATACCCAACAGCATAATAGCTAACAAAGAAGAAACCATCCAGGATGCAGCTTGTGAAAGTAAACATTTTTATTCTGTTTAATTTCTCAATGTATATTTCGGTGTAATGCCAGTTTTCAATGGTAAAAATTTGGTTCCAAAAAAATTCTGTAATACTAAAGAGAACTACTACTTTTTTTCAGGAAGTAGGGAAATAGCTGGAAATAAAAAGCACAACTTTCTAGCAGCATGGAAACTAAAACTGCAGACCTGACAGGTCTACAACTTGTGAACACCAACAAGAAGCAATATATACTGTAAAGTCAAGGAACAAACCAAATTTAGCTATAAGGATTTTAAAAGCTAATTATAGAAAAGGGAACAAAATATTTTACTCAAATGCTTTTAGAGCCTTTCTGTAAAGATATAAATATATATTATCTATCCAAAAATATGAGACCGAGTCTCACTTTATTGCCCTTGGTAGAGCACCATGGTGTCCCAGCTCACAGCAACCTCCAACTCCTGGGCTTAGGCAATTCTCTTGCCTCAGCCTCCCGAGTAGCTGGGACTACAGGCGCCCGCCACAACACCCGGCTATTTTTTGTTGCGGTTTGGCCGGGGCCAGGTAGGAACCCACTACCCTCAGTATATGGAGCTGGAGTCCTACCCACTGAGCCACAGGCACTGCCCTTATTTTGGTAATCTTATAACTCTTTTTTTCCAGGTGTAAAGGCTACAAAAAATTCCTAAAAATTAGAAAATACTGAAAAGATATTAAAGTTTGACATCAACTTTATATTATTTCCATTTTACCCTAAAATATAACTTAAAAAAATGACCTCGTTGGAACAGGCTACCTTGCTAATATTATAAAAAACTGATGCGAGCAAGAAACCCTATCACTGATATGTGGGATTTCTGTAAATAGTTTCTTCTTCAAATCATTACAAAAATGTTCAAAGATAAAAAAGAAAATAAATGATGGTGGTGGTCCCTAAACTATTTTGAAGGCAGGTAGCTCAGTCTAAGCTAAAATATTCTTTCAGTCATAGTAATCATCCTCCCCTCAAATGCCCTTTTAAAAAAAATCATGAAACAGTACAATAGCAAGAATCAAAGAGCACAAACTGTATTTTCATGAACAGAAAAATTTTTAATGCCAAAATCACAGTAAAAAGCAGATTTCTTTGGGGACGTTAATCAGTTTATAATCCACTATGAAGATTTGTCTTTTCTATTACGTGGAGAGTCTGCTCTGTTTGAAGTCAGTGTTCCACTTACACCTTTTCCTGAAAAAGAAAACAATCAGTCTTACCCTTTTATAAGTAAAGGCAAGTAATATAACCTTTATACATAAAGACTCTTTCAGAAAAGAAAATATGAAATCTAATATATACATGGGTTAACCAATATTGATGCTGAATATTGGTACTGACCCGATATTAATCTTTACTGATATTTGACCCAATCAGAAAACCCAGTAATGTGTTGAGCTCAATGAAATCAAAGCAGCAGATTAAAAATAAAAGTAACTTCCTTTAGTGACAGGATAGAAGACTATTTAAAATTTACAGGAGGCTTGGTACCTGTAGCACAGTGGTTATGGTGTCAGCCACATAACACCGATGCTGGCAGGTTCAAACCCAACTGGGGCCAGCTAAACAACAACGACAACTGCAACAAAAAAATAGCGAGGTATTGTGGCGGGCACCTATAGTCCAGCTGTGTGTGAGGCTGGGGCAAGAGAACTGCTTAAGCCCAAGAGTTGTGGGTTGCTGTGATCTGTGAGGCCATGGCACTCAACCGAGGGTGACATACTGAGACTCTGTTTCAAAAAATAAAGAAATTTACAGGAATTTAAATATACTCAAGAGGCCAGGCACTGTGGCTCACACCTCTCCTCTGTGGGATGCTGAGGCATTACTGCTTGAGGCCAGGAGTTGGGAGACCTGAGCAACATATTGAGACCCTGTTTCTCCTTAAGTTAACCTAATTTTCATAGACCAGACACGCACCATGTGTACTTAATGGAAAACTGACATCTATGTATTGACCACCTCTGTAAGTTGTATCTTGACCACTTGGACTGTGACACACAATATTAATTTACCCTCTATAACTTAATCAGCTGAGTCTACTCTATACCAAAGGGTAGAAGGTCTCTGGGCTTTGCTCCTTATATGTACTGTTATTTCCTTAGTCAAAGTTCTTTTTTCTTTTTTTTTTTGGCCAGGGCTGGGCTTAAACCCGCCACCTCTGGTATATGGGGCTGGCACCCTACTCCTTTGAGCCACAGGCATCACCCCGAAGTTCTTTTTTCATGTTTTATTATTACCATGTGTTGGATCAGGCCTACAATTGCATTGTTTATTCCATGTTGCAGAAGATCTTTTTCAACACGAAGAAATGGTCTAAATTGTAGGTGCGTCCTGCCATTACTGAAAACTTTTACAGTTAACTGAGACATAATGGTCCAAAGGAAAGCACCCAATAAGCTGACATTGAAGGGAAAGGTTGATCTACATTTTCTGGAAAGCAACACCCAAAGAAAGACAGCAAAACATTTTGGTGTCAGCAAGACCACAGTTAGCAACATGCACAACATAACCATGAGGACTTACTTAGAAAGAGATGGTAAGAAAAGCTGAGACCTACAGCAGAAAAGGGGGGAAACTTCCTGCACTGAAGTCAAGGAAGGCAGGTTAAGCTGGTTCAGACAAATGAGGGCAGTTAATGCCTGAATCTCCAGACTGATGATCCAAGAAGTTGCAAAAATTTTGCATAGCAATTCAGGGTGGCAGATTTCCAAGCCCCAAGTGGTTGGCTTGAGAAATTTAAACTGTGACATGAGATCTCCGAGAAAGTCTTGTGTGTGGTGAATCCAGTGAAGTTTCCGTGAAAGTTGTGGAAGAGTTCATCATAAAGTTCCCAGACTTCGCCAGAGGCTTCAAAGACCATGACATCTTTTTTATTGTTTTTTTGAGACAGCCTCCTTCACCATGAGTAGAGTGCTGTGGCATCACAGCTCACAACAACCTCACTTTCTCAGGCTCAAGAGAGCTACCTGCCTCAGTCTCCTCAGTCCCTCCTGGGACTACAGGCCCCCACCACAATGCCTAGCTAGTTTTTCTATTTTCAGAAGAGATGGGGTCTCACTCTTGCTCTGACTGGTCTGGAACTCCTGAGCTCAAGCAATCCACTTGCCTCGGCCTCCCAGAGTGCTAGGATTACAGGTGTGAGTCATCTGTCCCGGACTGCAGACACTTTTGACCCAGGTCTTTGCCTGTGGCTTCTGCTGTCAACTTGGCCAAGTCCACAGGGGAACTGCTGTCCTGCAAGAGTCTGTGCAAAATTTTATGCTTCTCCTTGAGCAAGGTTCCATGCGTGGACCCAGAACCAGGCAAGCTACCCGTGGAGTCTTTATTTGTGTCCGACAAAGAGCTGGCCAAAGGCGAGGGCTCCATCTGGTCGGACTTGGTGGTCAGCAGCTGCAGGAGTTTGGTCTGCCCCTTGCTGTCGTGCAGCCGGCTCTGCCCCTCGGCTCTCTCGCTGCTCACGGTCGGAGGCAGGCTGGGATCACTGCTTTCCTTTTGCTCTCCAGGATGGCAGCTGCTCTTCGCTTGTCCAGTTGTACCTTCCGATGGTTCCCCATAAAGTCGAAAACAGTCTTTCGAGTCTAAGCTTCCCATCTTGCTGAGTGGGGGGGATTCATATTAACCGGGGAGTTTTGCAAATTGCCCATTTTTAGGTCCGGTGAAGCCAACAATGACCCTAAGGAGACCCCGTGCCCCTCACTGAGGGCCTGAAGTGCATTGAGGGAACTGTTGGTGTAACTATGGCTATTTCCTGTGCTGCTGCAAACTCCCATGGGGGAATGCAAGCTTCCTGCAGGGGAAAACTGACTGGGTGGGATGCGAGGGCTGCCAGCCACTCCCCGGCTCATGCGATGTCGTGGTGAGAGCATGGAGTTGGGCTGTCCTGGAGTCATGCCAGGGCTGCTCTGTGAGGGGCTGTTCATTTTGAGTACATAGTTACTACCCTGAGGAGTGGCTGGCTGCCTGCATGCCTGACACGTGGTTCATTCCCCCAGAGCCACCAAACCTGCCCAGAGGCATGCCTATTTGTTCCTTTGGGCCATTTATAGAAAAATTGGTTTTGTTTTGTCCTTTTTTTTTTTTGAGACAGATTCTCACTATGTTGTCCTGGGTAGAGTGCTGTGGCATCACAGCTCACAGCAACCTCCAACTCTCGGCTTAAGCAATTCTCTTGCCTAAACCTCCCAAGGAGCTAGAACTACAGGCGCCCACCACAATGCCCGGATATTTGTTTGGTTGTAGTTGTCATTGTTGTTTGGCAGGCCCGGGCTGGATTCAAACCCACCAGTTCTGGTATATTGGCTGGCACTGAGCCTGCCTCCTTTCTTTAAAAGGACAGACAATAGACGTTTAAAGGATGACAATACTGGCTCGGCACCTATGGCTCAACCGGCTAAGGCGCCAGCCACGTACACCTAAGGTGGCGGGTTCGAATCCCCAGCCCGGACCCG